CATGCGCACGAGCGGGGCGGGCGGCGGGGGGGCGGGGACGGGCTCTGCCGCCTCGTCCTCCTCCTCCTCCTTGGAGCTCTTCTCGGCCTTGGCCTTGATCTCCTGCGCCGCCAGAAAACTCTCAGCGCTTCGCCGAAGAGCATGTCACGACCAGCTGCTAAAACCACTCACGGTCAGTCTGGGCACGGTACAAAGAGGGGCTTTGAGAACCAGGGAGGAGAGCCTGAAGAGGTGAACTAAAAGGGAAGCATGACGAGCCAGTATCCTATACCTACTCCGAGAACGCCGGCTTGACATTGAAGATCCGACTTCGAAGGCTGACCTAGAGCATCTGCACTGTTCTGCAACACTCGAAAGTGATTGATCAGACAACACTGTCATCAGCCGAAAGGCAAACTCTTTGCAAGACGGCCTACGCCCACTCGTTGTGTCCCCTGCGAGGCCTCTCACCTTGACCGGCTCGGCCTTCTTGGGAGCTCCCGGCACCTCGACGTTCTCCAGAATGCGCAGCGAGGCAATCTCAGCATAGAGTGTCTCTGCGTCCAGCTTGGAGTTGGCCTTCTTGTACTCCTCAATGAACTAGGGCACAAGAGTCAAGACAAAAGTCGTAAGGAGACACCTGGGGAGGAAGCAGGCTGCCGCAGTCGCGGACCAAACCTACTGGCATGCAGATTTGCAGTACATCCGTTCTTCAAAGTCGTGGGCTAGTAGTTCCAAAGACTGAGAGCTCGAAAACAGTTTCCTCCCGCATCCTTACATCGGACTGCCGGACTGCTCACCTCATCGTCAATGCGTGCAATGATGGAAACGTGGCGAGGCAGCATCTCGCTGATCAGGGAGAGGGGCCACTTCTCCAGGGCTTCAGGCAACACGGTGTGGTTGGTGTAGGCCGCAACTCTGGCGGATCACAGGAAACCAGTCAGGAGTGGTCCTTGCGCTGGCTTCTAAAAGCAACACGACACTCCGGGCATGTACTCTCCGCAGCACAAACAGGACAGATATAGGAGGTGGGCACAACGCGTGTTCTCGCAGGCCACAGGTGCGAAAGTCGACAAAGGACCACAATCTTGGCCAGATTGCACCACGACACAAAAACGTTCCTGCACCACTTTTTTGACAACGATCCCAGAGCTTCTTCCGGATCAAAGCAACCGGAGCCACTCACTCGTTTCTCTTGCAGAAATACCCTGATGTGTATGTATCGCAGGCTCACCTCTTGGTGATGCCCCACGCCTGGTCCCACTCGAGCCCCTCTTGGTCCATGAGCAGGCGGATGAGCTCAGGGATGACGAGCGTGGGGTGCGTGTCGTTCATCTGTACAGCCACCTTCTCTGGCAGCAGGTTCCAGTCGATGGGGCCGTCGTCGCGACCACCACGACTCTTGAATGTGGCCAAGATGTCCTGCAGGCTGGCACTCACCAGCGTATACTGCTGCTTCAGCCGCAGCAGCTTGCCCTCCACAGTGGCGTCCCCGGGGTACAGCACCAGGTTGATCTGCAGACACAGGCAGGGCATTCAGCAGGAGCCAAGTGCGTGTGGAACACGTGCATGCCACTAGACCCGACTTTGAACGGATGCAAGTTCTTCAGAATCTCTGCCAGCAACTTTCAGAAGGCCTTGCTCGCATGTCCCCTCATGCGCCAAAGTGGATCACGACTCACTTCCTCTGCCTTGATCTGGGCGTGCGCTGCCTTGTCGTGCTCTCCAGCGTTGAAGGCATAAAGGTCAAAGTCTGGTGCCGGCGCCGTGGCCTGCCAGAGGCGCAGGCTGATGACGTTCTTGGTGCGGTACCCGGGGATGGGCACGTCGTACGCCACAGCCTCCACTGTCTCACCCCCAACCCAGGCCAGCTTGCCATCAGCGCCCTCCTCAACGCTGCCAAAGAAGCGCACGGTGTGCGACACGTCGTGGCGGGGGATCTCTGCAAGACAAAAGGCAACAGGTTCGTACAATGGTGCACCAAGTCTTCCACCAGCAAAAGTGGCCCCTTCGGTTTTATTGCAGCAGATTTTATTCGTTGAAGCAGATTTTAAGCACGTGGATCTTCACAAACAAGCCCTGAGTTGATTCACAGATATGAAGAGACCTTGTTGTCTCCCAACTCCTGCATCGTCGTCTCATACTGACCCCTGTTGCGCAGATCCAGCACATGAAATTGAAGAGATGCCTTGACACAAAGTCTCTGATGAAGAACAAAGCACTGCAAAGCCACTCACCCCAAGGGTTGCCCTTCTCGAGCCACCTTTCTGCCACCTCCTCCTGGCCCTTCTCAGTGATATTCTGGTGGAAGAGGCCGTACTTGTAGCGCAGGCCATAGCCCCAGGCAGGGTAGTTCAGGGTGGCCATAGAGTCAAGGAAGCATGAGGCAAGGCGGCCCAGCCCGCCATTGCCCAAGGCCGCATCAGGCTCCTGTTGAAAGATTGGAGGAAATTCAAGTTGACATTTGAGGCATCGAACTAAACAGGTTCAGGTGGTTTTAAGACTGACGCCATTGAACAATATGATGCTTTTGCTTTTGGTTATGTAACAATTACAGCTGTCAATGACAAGCAGAAGAAAAATATGCTCAAGCTACATCCTACAGGCTAGATCTACGTGCAACAAGCCAAAGTACAATCGATATTTTCATCAGTCTGGAGCAGTGCGACAACCGCAGCAGCACAGCATACTGGCGGCGGTTGTAGGGTCACTCACAGCATCCGCCACCTCCTCCAGGGAAACCCCCAGCTTGGTCAGGGCTGTGGCATAGGCACCAGTCACACCCAGGTTCCCCACCGCATTCAACAAGGCCCGGCCCTGCATTCAAGGTGAGGGTCAGGAAGGCATCACACGTGAGCTGATGAATGCACAAGGAGCGAATGCACAAGTCATCTGGACACGTAATTGTTGCAGACTGTGCACGCAATTGTTGCATTGGACCAAAATGACATCATGCTGACTTGGCGTCCTTTAGCCCTCAGTACTTTGAGACAGTGCAATGTCATTGTACGCACTCCCGTGTGCAACAGTTGTAATCCTCTTCGATATTAATGATTGCCTGCCTTCAAAATGGACAACTCGGAGCTCACCTGCAAGAACTCCATGGACAGGTAGTACGTTTGCTTGGGATCCTTCTCCTGGAAGAGGGCGTATGTGTCGTTCCATCTTTGGATCAGAGTGTCACGGAGGCTCTGGGCCGTTGCTCTGTAGGCTTGCGGGATGTCAAACTTGAGAGGATTGTAGGCGGGAGTGTACGTTGCGTGATACTTGATGTTGGATGCGACCTTGAATGCCTCGTCCGAAGCTGGGTTGGCAGCTGCAGGAACTGCAGCAGCACAGTGCAGAAAATGGTGGTGTGAGAATTCACGTGAACTAGTACATCTGAACCGTAGATCTGAGCATGAGAAGGGTTGTAAGCATGGTTGATGCACATTAGAGAATCAAGAGACCTGATGCAGCAATTTGAGCGTCAGCATATCTGCTGTCCAAGCGACGGGTCAAATATCCACACCACTGAGTGAGGCTCTTCAATTTAACGTCGTGGTGGCACAGATCTTAATAGTATGAGCTTGTAGAACAGGAGCGCTGAAAACCAACTCTGTAATTCTGAGGATTGGCAATCAATGCACCATTACCATCAAAAATTGCTTGCTCAAGGAGACTAACTCTTGAAACATAGAGTAGTACATTGTTCCACGCAACCAGAATTGCAAAGTATCTGTAGCCGATGCTTCCAGGCTGTAGTTCAATCATGCAACAAGGGAATCCAGAAAGCCTGATCTCCAATCTAATAATCAACTATGCAAAGAACCGAAAGCAGAGGCAGATCTAGATCTGACATGGCGAGAAACGAGAGGGAAAATTCGAGCACTTTCATCTATTCATGCAATCCTGGAAGTTGGAGCAGCTATCATCTGCGAATGTGAAGTCAAACTCGCGAAGGCGGGTGCCATCAACCTGATCCGCTGTCTTGCATTGATTGTGTAGAGTAGGTATTCATTGGAAGAAACAAGAAAACAAGATCCGAATGCACAATTGGTGTGGGATGGAAATAGATTGATGAATTAAGACCAGGCTAGGTTCAGACTCACCATCCTCAGTCTTCTTCGGTCCAGCAGCTACAGCTCTGATTGCGCCCGCTCTTCGTCCTTGGCGTGCACTCCTTTGCAACGGAGTATGTGCCACAATTGCTTTTTCAAGCAAGGCGGTCCCAGATCTAGGTGTGCTGCCAGACAAGAATGCAGACTTGGGAGAAGCTACCACCTGCTCATGAGCAGATGCAGAACCAGAGAGGGGCAGGCATGAAGCTGCTGCAGAGGTCAATCCGCTTGCCACCGCAGAGAAGGCCATTGTTGGAGCGCCTCTGCTGAGCAGAGCAGAAGGCGATCAGCAACTCGGAAGTTCAACTGAATTTAGACGAATCCTGACTTGGAAGTTGGATCCTGGCAAGTGGAGTGCTTGGGCTGCCAATGCCGGCCAACTTTTGCCCATGAAACTGAATCTGAGCCTGGGCAATGGCAATGGATTCTTAGACGTCAGCCTGCTGAGGCTCGGAAGCCGCCGAGATGAACGCGCCGCGCTAAATGGCTCAAGGGGGTTTTCTTGCCAAGGGGGGTGATGAACAAGACCATCGGTCAACTGAAGTGCACCCCCCCTTTAGTCGCAAGCCCAGCGTTCTTTGTTGCCTGCTGACGTCTGCCACAAGATTCTCTGGCATATGATTGGTCAGGAGCCAAGATTCAAAAGATCTTTTCGACCATGTGGGGGCCGCTTTCGGCCTTTTCACACTTAGGGTTTTGGTTCTGGAATTGGACCAAGTCGGTGGTGCTGCTTCAACTCGAAGTGGGGCCTGTCTCAATGTTCGTGGCGAAACTAATTAATTTCGCCAATTTGATTTTCGCCAGCTTTTCGCCATTTAGTGTCTGGCAAGGGAATTTCGCCGGCCTGGCGAAAAAGCCTATGTTACCAGGCACAATTTACCTGCTCGGGCGCCTTTACCGACTTTGACAGCTCTCAACCCTGATTGAAACCAGTCGAATCGCCTGAATGTGTGCTTGGTCAGGTTAAACTTCTGAAAAGTGGTTGGAACAAGGTCGGGACAAGAAACAAGGTACCCGGGACAGGCTCCCGGCCATAAAAGCCGCTTGGAATTTCGCCATTTAAGTGTCATTTTCGCCAATTAGTGTCCGGGAGGTCCTATTTAGTGTATTTCAGGATTTATTTTCGCCACGATCACTGGCCTGTCTCCTTTGAGTTTGATGGTCAAGGAACGCTTCCTTGTGCAGGCTTTGTTGAAACGTGCACCTTCGGACACACTGTCACAAGTCTTGATTGGCCCTTCCGCCTGCACCGTTTGATTGCTGCCCCGTTGCCTCAATTGGTCTTTCTTCATCCGCTTAGAATGCCTACCGTGTATGGGGTCAATCTTAGAGCAGCGACGGCATTGCAGAGTATCATTGGTGCATCTTCTCAGGCTGTTGCAGCTTGTCGTGCCGTAGAGTCAGAACGGGAAGACGCCCTTTTTGTGGACCCGCTTGCGAAATATTTTGCCGCCTACGCAGGGGGAGCTCTTCCCACGTTCCTTAGTTCCTATGTCTCTGTGCGGACGCACTTCATTGATCGAGAGCTCCTGGATGCGCTTCGCAGGAAGCATGACCAAGGTCCACCAGGCGGGGTAGTCCCCAACCAGGTACACTCCAAAACCGCATGCCTTCATGCTTTCCACTGGTTCCACAGGACTAACCTTTGAACAGCGCTGAAGCAGATAATCTTGGTCATGTTTGAACTGCGGGTGTCAAATTGCGCCATCTGCATGTGTGACCAGTGAGTCTTTGTGTATTGGTCATCATCAGCGTCATTGTAATAGTCTGCGGCACTATATTCTCAGGTGGTACTGCTGGGGGCTGGCATGGATGGACGCATGTGGCGGCTGCCGCAGCAGGCGGGCAGCCCGCCCCCTGCAGAGGTGGTCTTTGAGCTAGATCAGAAGGAGGTGAGCCAAGCTCATAGATCTTAATGCTCCTTTGCGCCATCTTTGCTGTACTTTGCATCGGCTGCTGTTTCAAAAGGGAAAGGGAAGGGAGATGGTGGTTTCCATGTTGGGCCTGCTGCTTTGTCCTCAATTAAATCTAGGAGAGTTTCATAGATGGATGCACACGAAATGGTGTTTGCCCTCAGGTGAGGTTGTGGTGTTGTGGAAAGCTGAGACCATCTTGTCTTGACGTGCAGGTGGTGGACGCTAAGGACGCCGTCCTAGCCCAGCTGGAGCAGGCAGGGGAACTGCCGGCACCCAGGCTAGCAAAAAGGTGACACTCATTCTGCAGCGATTCAAGTGCATTTCCAGTATGGTTCTGAGGCTTCCATTGGACTATGCATATGCGCGCATGATGAAGAAGGAGCAAGATACTTTCAGGAAAGGACTTGATTCTTCATTTAGAGTGATCTCGCTGTCTTCTTTCTGCTCTTTGGTTTGTTCACTTCTGGATCTGAATACAGCAGTCTGTCACTGTACTGGCCATATGCTTCTGCACCGATGCTCAACCAACTCCAAGCTGCGTGAAAGACCCTGCAGTTCACGCAAGCGTTCTGATGGGATGTGGGACTTCTCACGTAGTTCGGGTTATTTTTTCCTGTGCAGGCGTGTGTGTCTCTCCGTGGATATTCGTGATCCTGCCTGGATCCAAGCCTTGAACGACGCCGGGCACAATCGAACCAGCGGCACGGTGTGGATCCTTGAAGGGTTTCTGCGCTTCTTCTCAAACGAGCAGGCAGGGCCTTCTTTCCAAGCTCGAAGTCAGAGGACGGACTGATGAAGCAGCTGTCAGCATGAAGCGCGTGCGACAAATGTGGAAGCCTCACCTCACCCAGCCCGGATCCGCTTTTTTTGTCGCCTGAGAGGAGGAATGCTGAATCCCGTGTCTTGTAGCAACTCTTCTTTGGGCTTTCTAAGTTCAAGGTGCTTCATCTGGGGCTTTTTGGTGGCAAAATTCGGGTTCTGGGGTCGTTACAGACCTATGTAACCGTAAGTTACAATAGCTCGATGACTTAAACGGAGATGAGGATTGTGTACAGGCTCTGCCATGTGGTGAAATGCAGAACACTCAAGGTCAATTTGGGTGCTGTGGCCCTGGGAGCTCGGCTTTGGCGCCTGGTGCCTGGCCCGCCTCTCAATTTTGCATGTTCATTTTTAAAGTTGCCTTGTTTCTGCGAGTCGTAGCTTTGATTAGATTCGTTTCTGCAGTCGACATTTTCGCTGGCCGCGCATATACAACGTGACCTTCTACCTTTCCTTGAGCTTACGTTTGTGCTGGACTTGTTCTTAAAGGATGCTACGTCCTTGGTCCAGATTGACGCGCTGATCGAGCAGCTGTCCCAGAACTGCGCCTGTGGTTCTAGCATCCTCGTCACTGTCCCGTCTGCGACAAGCCGCGATCGCAGACGTGCAGAGGACCCCGTGGATGCCAAGTACCAATGGCGGTTCGGAACGGATGACCCCGTTAGCTACTTTACCCGATTCGGATGGAAGACAGTCAAAAGTGTCTCGGTCGAGGATCTAGCCGACCAATACAATCGGAGGCCTCGAAGTACCGAATTGGATACACCCGCTGAGAATGGAAGCAAGGCAGAGCCGTCGGTCATGTCGAATCCTATGCGTCACAATTATTTATTGAGGGCAGTCAAGATTGACTAAGAGCGAAGCGGATAAACCAGGCTTACGAGCACGCCAAATCGAGTTAGACAATCATAGCCTAGCTAGAGAGAGCACGCATAGATAAATCGATCGTTGATCGATAATCCGACAGTATACACTAAGTTTAGGGGATCTCAAGTACTTTGTATTGTGCACCGTTGGTTCAAGCGCGGGTATCACGCACCTCCGCGCGCGGCTACCTTGATGGCCGATGGAATTGCAACCACTTGTAATCTAAAATACTGACACGTCTACCGTAGGTACCATCAAACACCATGGATGAGAAACTAGTGGTATCACGTCGTACTGCATGGTGAGTCCGATATCTTGCCTATACTTGACCACCTACTAAGCTCTCTGGCAACCTCTCGAAGGTTTACGTACTTGTATGTTTATTTGCATGCAACGTGACCCGTTTTGGGACATGCCAGTGTTCGCTAGCATGACCACCATGACCTGATCGCGATTGCGGTTGAAGATACTATATCCATGAGGAGATGACGGTCGCGTCTTGCATGAGTTATCACGATGCATACAATGGTATAATTCGCAGCGCGGTGTCCTGGAACGAAGCTAGTAGCGAAATGATGCATCTTAACGTATTAACGCAATCTCCATTCTTTAGAGCAGATTAAGCGCCCCAACTTACTTGTGACATGATCTAGCTGCCAATGCATGAATGCGTTAGGCAACCCGCGACAACACAACTGAAAGTGATGTTCCCCAGGAATGGAATGCGCATGGCCATTCAACGCGATCCGTCGTCACGCTTGGGATCGAGCCTTCAGCTGGCAGAAAATTACGAACTGTACGTAGTCATTTGTCCACACACTACCGTACCCCTGTGCAACTTACACTTCATTGGCGGCATGCAAGATGTGTGTTGTAAGTTGAGTCTTATAACGAGAGGGTTCTTAAGACTCCGATCCTCGGGCCCAAGCTTTGGGAATGGTTGTCAAAACGCATGCGAGCCTCGGAAAACATGTAAGCAGATGAAGCTTGCTCCTTTGACGCTTGGTACTATTCAAGCCTGGTTGCACTTCTTCGAGAAGGTCGACAAAACGGTCAACATGCTTAATTGAGAGCATAGTAACTATATACTGTGAGAGCTTCTGAAGCTTGCCTGAAGTTCCGAAGATTTTTCAGTTTCCATGCATTAACTTACTCCTCGTAAGGCAAGTGATCATGATTCTCTGCTTTGCTTCCTATCTTCCTGACTAGTGTGCCTTCGAAGCAATTTGGCGAACAAACACCAGCCCAATCAGGAATGTTGTCCTCGTCCACCTGATAGCCCTCCCCCAACATTATTCTGATTCCTGCGGAAAAAAGACCACGTTAACGCCAGGAAGATTCTGGACACGAGTTTTAACGAGCGAATGACCCTCACTGTCATTGTCGTTGCACCGATTGTTAAATCCCATGAAGGCAAAAGGTAAGAGAAAAAGAGTCAGTCACATGGCGTTTTCGCAGTCTACCAAGACTGGTT